TTTTCAAATTGTGCTTTTGCTTAGTGTGCTATTTTAATGTGTTTGCCAGCTACTGACCAGCCTAAATTTTGGAGGAGTTATACAATTACCTTCCAAATATCTGGCAAGTTTTCCCAAATAGAAAAGAGGCTCAGATGTTGGACAACCCAAATATCAATTCAGCGCCAACAAATTGGAAAAATTTCTTCTCTCTCCAGATCCATAATATCACAGCTAAAGGATGGCTATCCTTTTTGTAGTGGGTGAAAGGGCAAAAAGACAAGGCTTTGCAAATCAACAACTGAAAACTCCTTAGCTATGTACAACTTTCCAATCCTCTCAGAATGTATTTGAAATACACCAAAAGAAGAAAACAAAAGAGGAAATTTTCGTGACCTTATTTTGTACTTACAGGATTGGTGGCAATGTAAAATGGCACAATTACTTTAAAACATTTCATAGTTTCTTAAAAAGTTAAAAACCTATGACTACCACATATGACCCAACTATTCCACTCCAGGACTTCACCAAAGAGAAATGAAAGCATACATTTATACCAAGATTTATATGGGAATTTTCATAGTAGCTTCATATGGAAAGCCCAAAAGCTGGAGACAACACCAATGTGTATCAACAGGTGAATGAATAAACAAACTATGGTATGTCGGTAATATGAAATACTACTCGATCATAAAAAGAATGAGCTAGTGGAATCCCAACAACACAACTGAACTTCAAAACAATCATCTCAAATTCATCATAGATGAAAGAAACTAGGAGTTAGTGTGTGTGTGTGTGTGTGTGTGTGTGTGTGCGTGACAGAAAAAGAGATCTATCAACTCATTTATATAAATTTCTAGAAAACAGTTACTTATCTAAGGGATGGAAAACAGATCAGCAGCTGTTGAGTGGAGATAGGAACAGAATACTGAGACACCCGACGAAATGAGCGTGCTTTCAGGTCGTAGACGTATTCATTCAGCGCTAGTTGTTGATGATGTTATTGACTTTCTGGACTGTGATTAGTAGAGTGGACACCATAAAATAGGAGCCTCTTGTCAGATTATGTAATTGATTAATCATAAGGACAGTGAAATGGTACAGAGGAATGAATTATTCATCTATAAGGCTATGTCCCAGAGCCTGAAAGTTCTAGGAAAGGAACATTTCAATTCTCATTGCGCTTGGCTCCTTGCTTCTTTTTCTGTATAATTCCTTAATCCTTCGAACAAGTTTAGAACGGAATGGAGGGACCACAGGATTGAATGACTTTTGCTGCGTCTGGTGAGAGCCCAAAACTTTGAGACGTCCTTAGAGTACAGAATTCTCACGGTCCATCCGCCGAAAACTACGATTCCCAGGAGGCCTCGGGTCCGGGGTACGACCCTCGCAAAGGGGCGGGGCCTAGAGAAGTGTCGTTGGCCGATTGCACTGCCTGGAGCTCAGACGCCTTCTGGGCGGAGCTTGGACAAAATCCACTTTCTGATTGGTTATAAACAGAAAGGGGCGTGACGCGCAGTCAGTACAGTGCGCAGGTACGGGTACCGCCGCGTCCGGCACTCGAATTTCCCGGGCCTGGCGAGCGGGGTCTGCTGGGAAGGCATTCGACAGTTACTCGCCGGCCCTCGACTGTTTTGAGACTTCGATATGCAGAGCACGGACCTGGGCAATAAGGAGAGTGGCAGGATATGGCACCGCAAGCCCTCGCCGGCCACTCGGAACGGGTAAAGACGGTCGCGGAGGCCGTGGGCTGTGAGACGCGGGAGGCTGGCGAGGCGCCCGAGAGGCGGGCTCGAGTGTGAGCCCCGGGATGGGCTCGTTGGCGAGGGGTGGGGAACGCGGGAGCGGAGGCTGCAACGCCGCGCTCCGAAGGGCCGCTGGATGTCGGGTCCTGCGGCGGAAGCTTCCAGGCTGAGGCCGCAGGACTCGCCTTTTCACTGTGAGGGGCGCCAGGGTGGCGCCGTCGCTGGGTGCCCGCTCGGGAGACCTCAGCCGTCGCAACTGGCAGCAACTGTATGCGGGAATTCGAGGAAGAGAAGCTGTTTCCCTCCGGCCTTGCAAGTTTGTGCATCCTTTATCATTGCATGTACAATCATAACTGCGTTCGCCTACCATTTGGTGATGGCTGCTAGGTGTCAGGACGCCTGTAAGCGCGGTGTTGAAAGAGGCAGAAAAGTTTTGTTGAAATAAGTGTTGGTTTATTACCTCCGTGACCATGGGCCAGTGAATCACTGTAAATAGGGACAGTTACGCTTACCAGACACATTTTTCTTACATTAAGTACTCAGTAAATACTTGTTGTTTTCATTATGTTTAATACTGAGGAAATTGTCAGGCTATCTTGAAGCAATTGAAAAGAAATTGCTCCAGAATGCTTGTATGTGATTTATGTGAAAAATCATGGACATAATGTAGCTATTAATCATTACATCTGTGTGGTAGGATTATAATCACGTTTGTTTTCTAGTATTGTTAAGTATCTTCCACCTTTTGAACAATGTTCATCTAATTTTATTATCAGAACATGTCATGTGACAGGAAAAAAAACTGGAGGGAAAAGGCATTTGCTTTGTCTTAGTTACCAGGCAAAGTTTTGATGTCATTGCAGAACATTAATTTTTGTATTTTTAAATCCCCGAGGCCCACATAGAAGTAAGCAGTATAAAGTTCAGTAATCCTGTAATTTAGGAGGCTACGATGGGAGAATTGAGAGTTTGAGGACAGCCTGGGCAAGTTAATGAGATCCTGGCTCAGTATAAATAATAAACTAGACTGGAGTGTAGCTCAGTTGTAGATCACTTGCCTAGTATGGATGAGGACCTTGTGTTCAATCGAGAGTGCCAAAACAAAGAAAGTGTCTTAGTTACCTTTCTCATTGCTGAGAAGAAAAAAAAATATCTGATTCCCAAAGTTAAAGGAGGAAAGGTTTATTTGGCTCACAGCTTGTAGAGGTTGCAGTTCATAGTTGGCTGGCTTCAAGGCAGGGTGGCATTGCAGAGTGGCATCACAGAGGAGAAACAGTTTCTGTCACGCAGAAGGCAGCAAGCAACAGCAGCAGTCTTCTTTCTGTCCCTTATATTCTGTCCACGCTACCCACCCTTAGAGCAGGTAGCCCTCACACCCAGGGTGGGCCTTCCCATTATCCACTCTTAGAACTATTCGGAAACCATTAGTGGACTTAGTAATCACACACCCTTGATCCCAGCATCACACGCTCTAGATCCAGCCACCTTTTTCTGGTACTGGCGATTGAACTCAGGACCTTGAGCTTTCAGGGCAGGCACAGTGCCACTGAGCTAAATCCCTGGCTCTAGCTATATATTTTTAATAAAGTTTATCATTGAAAGTAGTATGTGAGAAAAAAATAGTATGTGATTGTTAACAAATATGTATAAAATACAGGGAAGTGGGAAAAAGGGGAAAAATCACCCATATACCTATTTCCTGCAAATCAATGCTATTTGACGTGTTCATCTTTTTTCTTATGTAGAGATTTTTCTTCCACTTTTTTCTTTTAATTGTGTGTGTGTTTTTGCATATGTATTTATCAGCTGTTTAAAATCCTAAAGTTAGACTGTTTGCATTTTTATATAGCTTTTTAAGCATTCTGTATGTTCCTATAGGATAATATTGAAAAATAAACTTCCTTTCTTAGTCTTTGAACAGAATGATTTAAAGCATTTGTGTCTAAAACAGGCATATTTTAAGTAGTTGTTCTATACTGTGGGCCAGGTGCAGGAATACAGTTAGCAAGCAATAGTCCTTGTTTTTACAGAACACACCTGCCAGGGTATTATGGTAGATCTGTTAGCAATGAAAATAGAATTCATGTATGCTTAATTCACTTGGAAGTATTTTACATCATGGAAACAAAAGTGTATACCATGTTGTCTATCACCTAATCATAATTCATAATATTTTTTAATGTGTGGTAGGGTTTTTTTGTTTTGTTTTGTTGAGACAGTCTCTCTTTGTAGTGCAGGCTGGCCTTGAACTTCCTAGCCCAGGATGACCTCAGACTCACAGTGTTCCCTCTGTCTTAGCCTCCAAAGTGCAGGGATTACAGACACATGGTTTTATTTAAAGTGTTTTACTACTAAGCTGTAAGCTCCATGAAGGCATGGACAATGTCTATCAGTTATTCTTAGCTCCTGGCTTGCTCAGTGTCTAACATACAGTAACTTTTCACATATTTGATCAATAAATGAACAGTAGCTACTTTGATAATGTCTATGTTTCTGAACTATTTTTCAAAAATCCCTGTTAGGATTGATTTGGGGAGGAGAAGGAATAGCAACAAGAGGAGAAAGAAGAATGGGTAGGCAAAAAAGGCTTCAAACTTAGTATATACTGTAAAAGCTGTGTTTGTCATATATCGGGTAACACTTGACCGAATTTAATGTTTAGGTGTTTTGTTTTGTTTTTTGTTTTGATAGAATTATAGTGAACATCATTCATAGTACTTCTGATTACCATCCAAAAGTTCTGCGATTTTTGAATGTGGCTTTTGATGGCTCAGGAGACTGTTTAATTGCTGGGGACCATCAAGGAAATATATATGTTTTTGACTTGCATGGAAACAGGTAAGCAGATGTTTTTAATATTTACCTTATTTCCAAGTTATTAATTCACTGGTTTAGTACCTGCTATTATTTGCTCAGAGAAAGCTTTACTAAGTTCTATATTTTAGGTACCTCAGAAAACAGTCCTAAGCAATAAAGCAAGAAAATAGGAATGGATGGATTGGTCAATTACTTTTAGACTATGAAAGTACTAGACTGAAAGTACTAAGAAACTGTATTTCTAGTAGTTGGGTTTTTGTTCTTAAATTTAAAATATCATTACCAACTATTAATTTCTGGTACTTCATTAGGCAATTTAAAAAGAACATAATTTCCTTTGTACATTATTGTTACAGTGTTCTGGATTTAAGAATTTTAAAGAATCTCCATTCTTCTCTCTCTTGCTCTTCTCTTCCCTTGTGGAATGATTTAGTCCAGAAGCAGTTAAGTAGGATTGATTTGATCAAGGTAGGTATCCATACAGTAGGACTTTGGGGAAGGGAGAGCTGCAAGAAAGACAGAAATAAAAGCCCTATGTGTGTAAGAATGAGTGAAATGTGCGCACACACTCCCTAACTTCATCTACTCAGAGGATAGGGAGCAACAACACACGAGTAGCAATGAATATACCCAGTCCCCAGTTCTTCTACATACCATTCTTTACTAAAAGGAATCACATGCTTGTAGAAGTGGCCAGTTTCACATTGAGAGCAGGGATAGTACGGTCTAGTCTGACATTTTGTGATCAGAAATAATTTATTCAGAAAATGATGAAAATGTATCAAAAGAACATAGATGCCAGTTTGAAGGAGCTCCTTCTAGCCACACTGTGCATAATTTAAGCATATAAATAAATAATGTTAGTAATGGGCTATAATCTCCGGATTAAAATAAAAATCCATAAGTTCCTGGTGTAAGTAACAAATAGTTTATTAAGAATGGAATAGGAGGGCCGGCAATTTAGCTCAGCAGTTCAGTGGCCTGCTTCGCAAGCACAAGGACCCGAGTTCTATCCCCAGTACCAAAAAAAAAAAAAGAATGGAATAGGGTATCACATAGTCACAAAGTACCTCCTAATAAGCTTATTAATTATAGAAGAAAAGAAAGTAAGTTTACAGTGAAGAAGCCTAGTAAACTTGTAATGAAATGATCACAGTTAATATAACCAGTAATAGGATGAGTTGGTTTGTGTGCCACCTGCTCAGATCCAGTGAACATAGCCTCACCTCTGTGATATTCCAGCCAGAGAGAGGTTACATTATTCTAATCAGTGGAACCCTCAGTCAAAGCTAAATTAGAAATACTCAGTAACTAAACTATCCTGTAACTTTGGTGAGGGTCACAGTCATGAAAGTTGGTTAAAGATTGAAGAACTTCCAGATGGAGGGAGATTTGAAGAGCCATAACAGGAATCTCTAATGATCCTTTTGCTGTAAAGGAGCATTTAGGACAACTGTCAAATCCTGGATGGGGCCTGGGGGTTTGATGGTAGAAATAAAGAAATTTAATATTTTGATGGTTGTATAGGAGCATTTCCTTGTTTGTGGGAAATGTAATCTTGGGGACTTGAAGTTAATGAAAGTAGTTGTATTTATTTATCTGATTTATTAGGTAGGAATCTGCTAATAATTATTCTTGTTCTGAATTTTTTTGGCGGGGGGCAGTGTTGAAGATTGATTCCAGTGCCTTGGCACTGAGCTATATCCCCAGCCCATATTATTTTTTATTTGGAAACAGTCTTGCTGAGTCACTGATTTGCCCAGGTCTTGAACTTACAGTTCTCTTGCCTTAGCCTTCTAGCGTGGTGGGATTATAGGCATATGCCACCACACCTGGCTGTTTTTGCTTTTTACCAAAAAAAGTATTAATCTCAATTTTCACACCCTTCATTCCCTAACCTACTCTGTGAACTTCCAATCATAAGTCAGCATGGCTGTCTCTTCTTGGCTCCTCCTGCTGAACAAAACTGGTTGATAGATTCCATTATAGAATAATAAAATTCAACTTCAGGGATTCTCAATATTTCATTTACTTATCTGGTCTTATTTACTTTTCCCATTCTCCACTGAGAACCTTTGTGCAAAACTTTTACTAATTTATTTGCCTCCTTGTGTCGGACACAGCAATTGTTCTGACTTCCTGGCCTCCTAATTCATGACAGAACAAGTGCCTTCAGCCTTCCATTCCTTCTTCCTTATAGCCTCAAATATGTAATATAAATTCAATACCCATGCTTTTCACTTAATTTATAAAATAGGTGGTCATACTTTCTTCCTGTTCTATTTCCTGTCTTCTCCAAGGACTTTGCACCATAAGAGTTCTTATTTTGTTCATTATCCCTATTCACTATCTTTTGTAGGGAAGAAAAAAAAATCATTTTTCCTGTGCCTAAGTTTCAGCTGGGGCTCATGTAGTACAAGACAGCTTAGCAAGGAGAAGATGAACAAGTTACTAACATGGATAGCAGTATATCACATGAGAGTAAGGCAGGGCTAGGGATTTAGCTCAGTGGTTGCACTGCCTGCCTTGCAAATGCAAGGACTGGAGTTCAATCCCCCATACCAAAAAAAAAAAAAGAAAGAAAGAAATGCCTGTCTTAGATTCTAACTGGTGACATCTTGCAACAAAGAACAATAATACATTTCTGGAGAAGTAAAAATACAAAGGAAAAGGACCTTGATTCTTGAAGGGCAGTGAATCATGAGAAGGAAAACATATGGGAAGGTAAGGAAAGACCAAGACTAGTTAGTAAAGTCTATTATGTAGATTCCTATGGTACCATCTCCAGGATGATAAAAACCTAAAGTTATGGATGGTAATTAGCTTTTGTCTTTCATAAATTTATACACATTATGTACACTTTTAGGCGTGGAAGGGGAAGACAGATCTTTTCTTGTATCTGCTTAGTTTCTTTCAGCTCAAAATAACCATTATGCCATAGTGGTATCTCTTAGGATTTCAAGCATGTTCTGCCACTTTTCATTGAATAAGCATGGCTGAGATGAACCACAACTTGAAATCAAACATTATTATAAAGTGTTCTCTATGGTATTCCCTCAAAATCTTCCTAATTGCCCAATTTGATAGCCTCCCTTTTTTATCTTTTTTTTTTTTTAATTTTTTATCTTTGTGAGACAGGGCCTTTCTGTGTAGTTTAAGTGTCCTTGAACTCTCTGTGCAGTCCAGGCTGGCTTCAAACTCACAATCCTCCCTCAGCCTCCTGTGCTAGGGTTATAGGCATGTGCCACTGTTCCTGACTCAATAGTCTCTTTTCTTTTTTAAAAAAAATGTTTAATGAAGCTTTATTAAACCAAAAATCTGCATACCACTCAGTTTACAAACTTAAAATGTAAGAGTTGTACAACCACAACTACAACCAAACTTAGATCATTTTTGCCATCCCACATCAAAATACTGCCTACTAGTCGTCATCTCCCAACCCCTCCCCTTAAACTTAAGTAACCACTGAGCTACTCTCTTTATAGATTTTCCTCTTCTGGGAATTTACTTATTTTTTTCTTTCAAAATAGACAATGCTCTTAAGATTCTAATAAGATTACTGACATTTAGAAATGGGAGGAAAGGAGCTAAAGGTGTAGGGAAGGTGTGATACGTAGGGGAAGAACAAAAAGGGAAAAGAAAAAAATGTGAGAGAATGAAAAGATGAAAATAAAGTGTTTGTAGATGGGGAGGGGAGGAGGGGGTGAAGGGAGGGCAGAGGTAAGGGGAGAAAAATGAGAATCAAGACTTGCCATGTAAAGGTACATGATCCCAACAATGAATGTAACTGTACTGTATCCCTAAATGTACCAATAAACTCAAAAAAAAAAATAGACAATGCTCACAACAAAAATAAAGACTAACATATCCAAAGAAATGTAAATTCTGCAAAGTAAGCTCTCACACCATATTAGAGTGAAATCAGAGACTGACAATAGAAACATACTTAGAATATAATTCCTGTTTTTTCTCTTTTCTTTCTCTCGTCTTTCCCATAAAATTTTTCATATAAGGGAAACCATACAATGTGCAAGCTTGTGTGTCTGACTTGCCTAACTTTGTGGTCTCAAGGTGCATCCATTTTCCTACAAATGTTTCAAATTTGTTTTTCTTTTTTTTTTTGGTACCAGGGATCGAACTGAGGTCCTTGTGCTTGTGAAGCAGGCGCCAGAACCACTGAGCTATATCCCTAGCCCCAAATTTATCTTTCTTTAATGGCAGAGTAACACTCCACTGTTCATAAGTACCACATTTTCTTTATCCATTTAGCTATTATGAATTGTGCTTCCATAAACATAGGTACACATACATTGCTGTGGTATGGTGACTTTTTTTGGGGGGGGTGTTCATGAATTGCTTATTGATTGATTGATTGATTGATTTTTAGACAAGATCTTGCTATGTTTTTAAGGATGGTATTGAACTCACTATGTAGCCCCGGCTAATCTCTAACTCTGCTGTGATATGGTTTTGGGGGGTTTTTTTGTTTTGTTTTTTGGTTTTTTGGTTTTTTTGGTACTGGGCATCAAACTCAGGACCTTGTGCTTGCTAGGCAGGCAGCGGAACCACTGAGTTAAATCCCTGGCCCTGATAGGTTTTTAACTCTGTGGGGAAGATACCCAAAAGGTGAATAGCTGGGTCAAATTCTAGTTTTAGTTTTTTTGTTTCTGTAGTGGTTGTATCAGTTTACACTCCTACCAAAAATTAACAAGGGCCCCTTTCTCCACAGCCTCACCAGTATTTGTTATTGGTTGATTTCTGGATGATAGCCATTCTTTCTGGGGTGAAATGCAATCTTACTGTTGTTTTAATCTGCATTTCTCAAATGGCCAGTAATACAGAACATTTTTCCATGAATGTATTTACCAACTATATTTCTTCATCTGAGAAGTATCTATTTATTTCAGATGTCCATTTTTTGGTAGGGTCTTTAAGTGGCAGGGGCATCTAAGTTTTTTTAGTTCTTCGTATTTTCTAGATGTTTGTCCTTTGAGGAGTAACTGGCAAGGTTTTTTTCCCTTTGTGTAGGTTGTCTCTTCACTTTCTTGGTGGTTTCTTTTGATATTTAAAACCTTTTTAATTTAATGGGACCTCATTTGTTGATTCTTGGTATTATCTCTTGTGCGACCAGGATTTTATTCAGAAAGTCTTTGTCTAAGCCTATGTCTTGGAGAGTTTTGCCCCTTTTTTCTCCTAGCAAATTAAGTGTTTTTATTCTAATGTTGAGACCTTTGATCCATTTTGATTTTAGTTTAGTACATGGTGAGAAGTATGGGTCTAAGTTCAATCTTCAGCATGTGGCAAGCCAATTTTCCAGTACCACTTATTAAAGAAGCTATCTTTCCTCCAATGAAGAGATTTGGCCCTTTTGTCAAAAATCATGTAACTGAGTCTGCCTGGAGTTGTTTTTGCATCCTTTATTCTGTTCCATTGATCATAATTCTGTATATTCAGGGATGTTCAAGTCTTTTTTTTGCCAATATCGTGTTGTTTTTATCACTGTAGC